GATCACTCGACCAAAAGTTATTCATGGTGTTCCGGTTCTTAACTTGCGTATTGTATCCCGATTATATATACACACTGTAGATGGCTGCTGTTCGAAAAATATTACATTTAATCCAATTCAATCAATACAACATACACTTTATATACACCTTCATTTGTATATGCACTTTATGAACGTCTCCTATACTATCAAACACTTAATTAATTTAATTAATGCACATATGCTTTGCATATACACTGTTAGAAATTTCTCTGTAAAAATGTCTAATTTATTTAACTGTTATTTTACCACATTCAACCAAAACAGTCAAATAACTATAAAAAGATGATATGCAAACTGTTAAATATAAGGAAAAAAAACGCTCATTGATTGTTTTTTCCTGATACGGTTAAACAACCTGAGTTCTATCCGCTCCAACTAGGTCCACCTTTTAACGTTGTTTTTCGAAGCACTGCCGTCAAAGAAAATAATAAAGTAATATAATAATAAAGCCTTACACTTGAAGGAATACGATGATTTTAAACTATATATATTATCTTGTTGTAAAGAATTATCAAGGCCTTAGAACGGACAAATAGCTTAAATATTTCAAAAGTTATTAAGCTTTTTCAAAAATTGCCAATCTGGCCCCATTTTTCCACCAAGATGAAAATTACGAAAATTACTGCCTTATTCTCAGTTTTTGCAAATTTCTATGAGCCCAGATAAAGCAGCATTGAAGCAAGTTTTTAAATATTCAAAAATTTGACCACAAACACTTTTCATTTTCACAAAACTATGGCTTTTAACAATATTGACGCTTTACGCCATTTTCAAACAAAGCTTAGACAGCGCTATCTTTAGATAGGGTAAACTTGACCCAACAGTCAGGAGTAACTGTTGCAAACTCAAAGCAGTTATAAAAATAGCATATTATTCTCAAAAAAGCATAATTTCATATGACGATGAAGCCTTTGAAAAACAGCCTTAAAGCCATTTTGTTTTGTGCAGTTGGGAACATACTGTAGATGAGAGGGCTAATCGGCCGATCTACGACTGGTTGAAGAAGAGCTCAAATCCCAGCGTTGACACTACAGTATTTCTTTCATCCCTTCTATGCATGTAGAGTTTCTAGTGCCCTGCACACCAATTGGAAACACTGAACGGTTAGAATACGAAAATATCATTCACTCATAAATTGCGCAGCACTCACAGAGCTCCTATTTCTGTTCCTACAGAGCTCCCATTCCTTTTTAGATACTAGCTGTACCTATGCTAGCTGTAATGGTTACGAAACCGTATAGTTCTTGTATTCACAGTTTCTTAACCGTGCCAGTTGTAAACGGTTTTAAAACCGCAAACGTAAAAAATAGTGCCTAACCATACCTTTTATGGTTAATCGGATGAACAGACTACTGCCGGTTATTTTACCGTCATTTCCGAATGAGAATTCTAACGATGTACTTTCATTTTTATATACAGTTTACAGTCGGCTCCTATACCATCAAAATTAACATTCAATCAAGTAAATTAATGCACATACGCTTTGGATATAACTTTTTTGTGTGTAGTTTTAAAAATTTACACCATAGTTTCAATTCAATTAACTTGCATTTTTAATTTTTATATTCGGTAAAATCCAGTTCAACTACCGATTCAAATCCAGTTTGCCGATTGCCATTTGGTATTCAATAGAATGCCTGGACGCTATGTGAAACATTAACTGTTTCAGGCGTTGCCTATTTGCCATTAATCCTTCAATAAAATTTTGGCACTGTGTGAAACATTAACTGTTTCTTAATCTGCCTATTTGTAATTATTCATTCAATTAAATTCGTAAGCTCTGTATTAAACATTACCCACTTCATATTTCTCCGGTTGTCATCAGCCATCTATAACAGCAGTTCCCAAGTTTTTTTTCGGTTACGGAACCCTAAATAATCAACCTTCTTCTCGCGGAACCCAGACTTTATAACTAAAGTTTATGGATGTAATTGTGAACGTTATTACCTATAAGAGAGTTAGATATTTTTGATTGTTTTATTATTAATAATTTAATTTTTCGTCCAACAGTTGGAATTACAGTAAGCTATATCAAATCTAGTTATGTATTGTTTATAGTCTATGAACATAAGCTGAAAATGAATAAAATAGCACAAACTGAGGTTTACTTTGGAATGAAAACTTAAAAGAACTATTATAAATGTTGAAAATGGCTATTAGGGAATCATATTTCTTCATTAAAATATTAGTTTTTTTGTTCGTTTTTCATTTAAAAAGTATGATGAGAGATACTGATGAGAAAATTTAAAAATGCTTCTCCTTTTCATAATTTGTTCATCATACTGCTATTGAAAATGTTATATTTTATATTAAAAAAAAAGCGCCGTTTCTATTTCTTGGATACTTTAGTTGATATAATCTGATAAAGGCAACAGTAAGGTTAAAAAAAAATATGAATTATAGGTTGTATCTAAATATAATCTGAAGTTTCAGAATATTTTCGTTATAAGAAATACTAACTCGCGGAACCTCTTTAGCTCTTCCACGGAACTCCAGGATCCCGCGTGGCACCCATTAGGAACTCCTAATCTATAGACTGAATTGGCAATGTGAGAAATATTAACTTACAAACTTTACTTGTTAATTTCATGCATTTTATGCACTGACTAATGAAATTATAGAATATGAATTTAATAGCAATTTATATTTATTTGTTGTATACATTTTAAAATTAAAAAAAAATGAATAAAAAGTTTAAGAAAATCTTTTATGGAAGGTAAAAATAAACCGAAACGTTCCCCATTTACATTTTCTTCATATAAAAATTTCCACACAATCAAAACAAAGCATTATTTAAAGAATAAAACCTATCATGATATTGAAACCATAAAAATAATAAAAATAAATTCTCGGGAAAAAGCGTTGAAAAAAATTGTTCTTTTCAAGCCAAAACAAACTCAAGGCCCACCCCTTAAACATAACATATAAAAGAAGCAGAACGGAAGAAGAAGAAAAAAAATTGAATTCTCATCCCCCCGCAGTCCATTAAGTTTAATGCCTCCCTGTCAAATTCTATAAATCAGTGGGTTTCTTACTCATTTAGAAGTCAAGAAACAAATTGAGAAGAAAGCAGTTAAGATGAAAGCCAAAACGAAAAAAGGAAACAGTTTTCAGCCCTGAGTCTGAAAAGTATTCGCTTCGACTGTAAGAAAAGTTTTTTGGCGGGAAGTTTTAAGTAGAAAGTAGAGGATTCTCTCCATAATCGTTACACGTCCCAGTGTGGCCCTTGGCTTCCAGAAACAATAATCACACGCCAAAACCGCCGCCATTAAAACGTCAAGAGATTATGGGTCTCGTGGGTGGACTGCTAGCGCCAACTATCGGAAAAGTTAAGCAATTGAATTGGAGAATGGCTTTGAAGTCCTATTACCAGCAAAGATCTATTTCCATTGTTTCTCAAAAGAACTGATACACAAATATTTCAAAAGAATTTTCGGGTGAAATATTCTAAAATATGAAATTTTATGTACTATAATTGTTTATTTTTCTTTCAGCTATTATTCCATAATTATTTTGATTTTCTGTCTGCCCAAAAACATCATGAAAAAGAGGATATTGCCAGCTTTTACTGTAAATTATCGAAAACAATAAATATTAAAAAAAGAAGAATTTAAAAAAAATTGAGATCGTTCAGACACCGGGGCACAAATTATAGGTTTATACGCTTTTTCATCAACACTTCGGGAGACATTGCCAACTCTTTTTGAACTATATAATTGCATGCTCTGATGCATCAAAAACTAATTTTATAATTTTATTTAATGAGAAAGAAAACGAACTTATCAAATAATTTGTCACTTTATTTAATATTTGATGCTTCATTAACTTTCAAACCCGAAAAAAAATTAAGTTCTCTTCGAATTGTTCTATGAGAGATTTTTCGCCATTTGTTGAGTTTCCTTTGGTTTCCGTATTTTTCTCTACAATTCATTCAAATTTTCTCTTATGACATTTTGTCATTTGATTGGGTCTGCGTCCCCTTCATTTGGAAGCATTTGTGCTACTTTCAGTTGAACATGTTTTTTATATCCTTTTTACGCTTCTGTTTGATATTTTAAATTGTAACTTTTCTCGCCATTTTGTCACACTAGCTCAAGTCAAACAGCCATTGAATACACCATAAAACAGAAACAACCAGTTTTACATAGTTGAAAAAATCTTAAATGTTGCGAACAGAGCCATTTACTTTGACGTTAACTTTTTGAGAAATGAACTAAATATATTCTAAGATAATTAAATTAAAGGAGGAATAAAAAAATGGTTGAGGTCCAGAAATTTGTTCACTGTCAGAAAATGCTTAGTACATCTGATAAAAGTTTCATAAAGTGGTTGCGTCAATGTGGGTATGTTTAATGTAACAGAAATGTTTTTGCTTTCACTTTTATCCAAACATAACTAATCCATATTAGTTTTTAGAATGCTTGCATGATTTTTTTTATTTCAAATTAGACAATGGTAAATAAAAGAATTACTAGTTCTACATGGGGCCGGCATAGCCTGGTCGGTAGGGCTCTGGGGCCATGTCCATGAGTTCGTGGGTTCGAACCCTGACGGCCGAATACTTCCCGTGTTGTAAAGTGACTGATGCGTGTTAAATCTGTCGAGTCGCAAAAGTCCTTCATGTTCCCATAACAAATCAATACCTCTGGGGTACTGGATTGGAGATCGATTGTTCTCTGATTCAGGTCAAAATTACGATCTGTGGATGAATGAATGGATATATGAATGGGTTAGCTCTATAAACGGGTGTGACGTATGGTGTGGCAGAAGTCGAATTCTTGGCCATAGATGACGTCACTGAAAAAACAAGAAACGCACACTCTGCCTTAAATTTGCTCGGATTCACCAAGCAGGCTTGCCCGTGGCAAGTGGCATTAGAAGCAACAACACAATGGCATTTAGTTATATTCCTATTTTATCCACTTACCCTTTCAATTATTTTTTAGGATAATCTTTTAAAATATTATTTTCAGCTACCTTTTGATCTTTTCCTTTTCACTTGATTGCTTCATTTCACTGTAGCTCACAATAGATCGCTGTACAGTTCTGAAATTACCCTGCTGGAACCTCTGCATGAGCTTTTGTATGGTCACCAACATTTCTCCCATTCTCTTCGATTTTTCTTCCTGTACCTCATTCTTTAGAACAATTTCTGCAACCGTGTTCAGCAAGCTCTGGACTTTGTTGACGGAAGCGTTGATGTCTGGATACTGGCAAATGTGCTCGATTTCTAGTAAAGAGAAGATACAAATCACCACGTAGATTTAAAAATAATAAACTTTGAATTTAGAAATTATAATTGTATTAAGTAGAGTTTTTTTTTAAATATCACTTCCTACCTTCTTCGTTTATGTCACTGCTTATGTCATTTATATCTGAAGTGATTTGCTGACCAGAGATTGTGTCCGGAATTGTGTCTCTAATGGCCTTTCTGAATTTCATTTCCGTTCTGAAAAATAGATAAATATATTTTATTTGAAACATCCCCATGTGCATACGAGGCCATAATTCCTGTAAATATGTAATTTATATTGTGTATTTCATGCAGCTTAGAATTTCATATGCATACAAAGTTGAATCAAAAAGTAAAGTAGCATTTAGGTGGACAGACAGAGATGCAGATGTGAATGCGTGAAAATTTATTATGCTTGACAAATCGTGTCACATTATCGTTGGAAGCAGACACCATAGAGGTTTAAATATTTATCACGANTATACCGGGCAGTGGCACTTGACCTTAAAAAAACATCAGTGTAGGGTATACCGGGCAAATGTATACCGGGCAGTGGCACTTGACCTTAAAAAAACATCAGTGTAGGCAGAGCCGGATTATACCTTTCGTAGGCCCTAGGCACAACCGTTTTTGGACCCTTCCTCCACTCCTCCCCTCTTTTCAAAATATATGCTAAAATTTTCTTGGATATTTCTTTTTTGCATTTTTATTAATAAGGATTTTAATTTGAATACGACATTTTGCGTAGTTCAGAATTCGACAGCATAATACAAGATTTCGTTGAATCCAAAAATCGCAAAAAAGTACTATATTAGATCATAAGATTCTGCAAAATAATTTATTACCGAAAAATATTATATTTTTATTTGTATCTTCATAATTTTGTGCAAAATACACTTGTTGTTTTTAAAGCTAAATTACTTTTGTCAACAAATTTTTATCTCCCAATTTTTTCGTAGGCCCCTGAATTTCGTCGGCCCTAGGCACGTGCCTAGTGTGCCGATAGATTAATCCGGCCCTGAGTGTAGGGTATACCGGTCAAATGTATACCGGGCAGTGGCACTTGACCTTAAAAAAACATCAGTGTCGGATATACCGGGCAAATGTATACCGGGCAATGGCACTTAACCAGACCTAGTATGGTTAAGCGCCATTGCCCCGTATACATTTGTAGTATATACCTTTACATAGTACCTTCGGTAAATGTCCGAAATATATACTAGGTCTAGTGCCACTTTTGCTATAGCTTAAATATTTAAAAAAAATTAAACAAATCGTTTNATATGAAGTTTCAATGGTACCTAGTATGGTTAAGTGCCATTGCCCGGTATACATTTGTAGTATGTACCTTTACATAGTATATACCTTTGGTAAATGTCCGAAATATATACTAGGTCTAGTGCCACTTTTGCTATAGCTTAAATATTTAAAAAAATTAAACAAAGCGTTTGAATCAATTTTAAACTGATAACGAAATTATTGCTTTAAAATTAAATAAATAATAATAGAAACTGCGCCAGATAAGAGTAATTGAAGTAGTTACTTTATACAGCGCATGTGTAGAAAAAATTTTTTAAAAAAATTATCCAGGTGCATCCAAAAGTGGATGAATATCCCAAGACACAGAAAATTCCATTTCATTTTTCGCTCATCCCACTCGAACGGTTTGTCGTAGAGCGACAATGACCTTCCTTGTTCTTTGAACTATCAGTAGCCAAATTCCATAGCTTTCGGTCGGATTGTTTAGAAGTCTATAAAGGACACGCACACAGACATTCACTTTTACATATATATGGATTATTATATTCAAATATTTAAATTATATTCATTTCAATTTTTTAATAGTTTTTCACTTGACAATTTCCGAGATCTAGAAAAATTTACCCGTAAATTCAAAAAAGAAAATGGCTACGATAAGGGATGAAGACATTTGTCCGCCTTTTCAGTTAGTAAAAAAGTATCTTCCTGGAGAAGTAAATAGGCTTTTTCATTAAAAAATTGTGTTGAATAAAAACTATTTTGAAAATTCAATTAGTTCAATTATGTCTTTTATCTTAAGACCTGGTCTTCTCATGGCGCTGAGATTGTACTGCGAAGATATAAATAAATATATGATGAGAAAAAATATAGAATTAATTTTAAAAGGAAACGCACGTAAAGGTTAGATCAAAGTGTGATTTGATTATTTTTACATGCTTAAATAGGGTTTACAGCAGAATCTGACTTCAACGTCTCAGTATATGATTTCTACGGAGCATGATCAAGCATGGTTTCGTAATTCGAGTGATTGGCAAATGGAGTCTGACGTAAGAAGTGATGCATAAAAAAATTAAGCTAGCAGTAGATAGTTGAAACATAAATTTCAACAATACGCTAAGATATTACAGTCAGTATCCACTGTGAACTAAAACTACCCGTCTACCTGTATCTACTGAGCTTTATTTTATTTTATAACAGTCATTGAACAGCCAACCCAATTTTGCTATTCATTTTTAAATTTACATGGTTTCGTTTTTATGGTTCATGGATAGTGGTTTCATTTTTCAACAGTCTTCGAATCCATTTCACAATTTCTTTAATGCGAAATTATTCGTGATTAATGAAAACAAGAGAGAACTGCTGATATTTTGATGTATAAAAAATCAATTTTCAGGTGAACTCTAAATTAGGGTATAAAATTGGGAAGGTCCATTTATAGAAATTCTGAGCACTATTTGCTTACTTCGCAAGAAGGCATTTTTATTAAAATGCATTCTTGCGAATTTCCAGTCCCTTGTTCTCTGTGATTTAGTCGAAGTTGCATCTTGATATTTTTTCCAGATTTTACACTATGTGAGACACAGGACGTACTACTATTTAAGAGATCTCCAATAGATGTAGTCCTAGGTAAGAGATATGGGGTATGGTTTAATTTGAAACACAGCATTTTACAAGACCAAATTTACTCTCTTGTCCAAAATATTCGGACAGCAATGGCAAGCCTGGCGAGAGGGAATTTCGATTTCTTAATAGCGCTGAAGTAAGTGGCCGAACTGTTCGATGTAACCATAAAAACGTAAGTTTTAATTATACTTTTATTGTTTTTCGTTGTTTTTTTCTGATTAAAGTGGGTAAGTAAGATACCTAAAGTGAAAAATATAGTGAACATTTCTGAGAAAATTTAAGTGCAAAAATAGAAAAAAAAATTAAGAAGCAAAAAAGAAAAAACTAACTTTTATGTTATGTACTGTTGTATTCAGAATTAATTTCTTTCCATCCCTATTTCTGTGTATTTTAAATTAAACATTTCAGTAAGAAAAATGGTAGCTTGAAAAATTTAGATATGGAAAAAAAGTTTTCAAGTAATTATAATACAAAATAATAATGAAAATGATTATACAACGAAGAAAAAAGCAAATTTGCTATGAATATTAGATCGAAGAAAATATATAATGAGAAATAATTAAAATTTGATACATTTTTAAAATAATTAAAGTGATTGAAAATAAATAAATTATTCACTTTAGCAAATAATGCTTACATTTAAATGTATCGAATAACCATTAAGCTTAAGATCATATTATTAAGAGAATATCTATTTAAAGTCATTTAAAACAAAATTCTTCTCTGAATTAAATAAAGCCTTAACGACTAGTTCGGCAAATCTTTGCCGAGTAAATGGCAACAGCCGTTGAACGAAGTGCATGGTTCTTTCTTTCGATTAGGCTAAATGAGGAGAACTTTTCGTTTGTCTGGATGGACAATGGGAATTTGCGGTGGCCTAATTGCGGCCGTTTGCTGGCCCTTTATTGGCCGTCCGAGGGGCACCTTTGCTGCATTTTATGGCCGGTTCGGTACTAGCTTTCCTTCCTCTTTTAATTCGCCATTTTTCTTTGTTCCTTCTTCCTTTGCGACCGAGGAGAGTTGAGAAGCTCGTTAGCTGCGGTTGCAAAGGAAAGAATTCCCTAAATTGGCATCTTAGTTACATCTTACTTTGCAAATGTTTTGAGCTTTTTACTAGAACATAAAGTTACCGTTCAAGAGCTGATTTACTTAATGACAATTTTTGCAATTAGATCTTGATTTTTAAATATTTTTCTCACATATTGTGAAAATTTTCAACATCAAAACAATACTAACAGTATTATTTGCTCTTTTTATCTGTTCTTATATCTTTCTATTATTGCTATTGAGTATTATTTGTTTTTTCTTTCTATTCTTATATCTTTCTATTATTGTTATTGAGTATAGTATTTGTTCTTTTCATCTATTCATATATCTTTCTATCAGTTACCAAAGTAAAAATGAAAGAACGTAATCTAAGTTTAATTTTAAAGTATAATTAGTATATGAAGTTTCAATGGTTCTACAAATATTTCCTTTCACATCACTAAGGTAGGTAAATTTCAAATATAATAACCACATACATATCATAAAAATATGTAATAAGAATATATGATGAGAATATATAATAAGAATTTAGTATAAGGATATGCAATTAGAACATACAATAGGAAACACACACAGTGTCAAAAATATATATCAAAAATATATATCATTAATCCCCTACTAGAGGAATCATAAAGTTTTTCTTCAAAATTTTCTTATTTCAACTACAATTTAAGTGAAATTGCTTCTACCTGGCGTAATTCTTTTTCTAGTATTAATAATCATATAACGTATTGAAATTAAAACTTTTACATGGCTGAAAAAGAATATTCTATAAGTAAGTCCAATGAGAGAAACAATAACGTCACTATTACATATTCTATTTAAAAGTATTTAATGGCAGACGACTTTAATTTTAATTCCGGTTCCGATTTTTACTCTTTCACTTGTCAAGCAGTAAATAATATCTTTTGCTTCTTTACAAATAAAAAGATTCAAATTTCGATATTTTTTTTCCATTTTGCCTTTCCAAAAATATCATAACTTTTTAGGACAGTTAAATAATATAATTGTCCTAATTATAATAATCTATAATTAAAAAAAATCATCTTGAATGAACCATCTATAAAAATCAAACGATCTATAAGAATCAAACGATCTATGCGCCACTCCAAATATTTCTAGGAAGCTCTATGAAAATTTTACAAAATTCAAAGTTACGGAAATTTTTTAAAGAATTCGATTCATTGGTAATTTAAAATGAAATACTATAATCAAAGTAATGGTAATAAAGCATGCGCTATGGAAGCTAAATAAGAGATGGGGACGAATAATTTTGTGAGAGAAAATTCAAAAACTGACAATTAGAAAAAGCAACA